GGAAATTCTCTCTCTCTCTCTCTATCACACACACACACACACACACACACACACACACACACACATTTTGCATTGCAAACTTACAGGTCGTAAAGTTAATTCCAGAGGGCAATATCAGATTTTGTTTTTAAAAGCCTAGAGTGTCACCTTAGGATCCAGCACCTTGACTAAGCAATTAGATAATGATGGGGAAACACCATAACAATACTAAATGGAGGGAAATAATGATCCCGACCATGATAATCATTACCTTGAAATATCCTCAAACATTTTGCAGAGATGATCTAATTATTCCCTTGCACATCCCTCCTGGGAATGGTGTTATTATTTCCATCTTGAAGACAAATATAATATCCACTCTTGATTTATAAGTGTCATTTCTTATGAGAAGCTTCATTATTTGTTTTCTTTTCATCTTCATAATATGAGACTTAGACACCCGAAATTAACTTCGTAGAGTTAGAGGCAGAATGATCTGTGTTTCTATGAATGATTGATTAAAATCTAGTGTTTTCTAAACTGTTTTAATCATGCATGCATGATGTGAGCATAATAAGTCGCTTCCTTCATGCCCGACTCTTTGCAACACTATGGACTGTGGCCTGCCAAGTTCCTCTCTCCGTGGAACTCTCCAGGCAAGAATACTGGGATGGATTGCCATGCCCTTCACCAAGGGGTCTTCCCGACCCAGGAATCGAACCTGTATCTCTTATGTCTTCTGCATTGGCAGGTGGGTTCTTGACCATTCACACCACCTGGGAATCATATCCCCTATAAAATCATAAAATCTTTACAAATATAGAAATTTTGAAGAATCAGATACGAAAATATAATTAAAAGGTCTAGTGCTATTTCTGAGCTTTCCTAGGGTACATGCAGCACCACCCCACCCCCGCCCTGGAACTTTAGATTGAGAAATAGGGAGAAGAGGAGGTACAGAAAGAATTAACATGGTCCTCTTTTTCATGCCTCCCCCACCCCCCGCCAAATAAGACCTGACAACTGCAACTCTCGCAGTGAGTTTCAGCTGAAACTCAAGTGGAGGGTAAGAGGGAAATGAGAAGAAAGGTGAAATGAAGTGGAACTAAAAGTCAAACCCACTTCACTTGCCTTCACTAATCAAGGTTATTTTACGATTTGCAAGTCCTTCAAATAGCTTAAACAATAGATGCTTGCCTAAGATGTTTCAGGCTGTGTCTAGTTGGAACTGAGCTGATTAAGACTGGATGGGACCACTGACCCTCCAATTGGGCATGCATGAGTTGCCCACTCAGTGGCCTTTTGAGCATTATGCCTGTGCAGAACCAAGATTACTGCATCTTTGTCCAATCACCTTTCCCCGTGCTCCCCAAGTTCCAGACTACCTTCTTCTTTATTCATCATCCCATAAATATCCAAACCCTCTGCATTCAAAAGGCAGATTTGAGATTTGTCCTCCTGTCTCCTCACTTGGCTGCCTTGGGAATAAACCTTCCCTTTACTGCAAACCTCAGCCTCTCAGTGGCTTGGCTTGCTGTTCTTAGGGCAAAATGAACCTGGTTCGGTAACAGTAGGAAAAAAAGAAGAAATGATAAGGAAACAAGAAAGGAGTAGGTAATCAAAACACTAAGTGGCTGTTCCTACCTGTCAGTGCGATGATACAGGATGCTTCCAAAGGGGCTGTATAGTTTGCTAGGACTGCCATAACAATACACCCTAGACTGTAGCTTACACAATAGAAATGTGTTTTCTCAGTTCTGGAGGATGAAGGTCCAAGGTCATGGTTTTGATAGGTTCAGCTTCTCCTGAAGCTTCTTTCCTTGACTTGGGAGAAGGAAGGGCTTCCTTCTTGCTGTGTCCTCACGTGGTTGTTCCTCCATGAGCATATGCCCTTGCTGTCTCCCTGTGTATCCCAGTTCCCCCTTACAAGGACACCAGTCAGACTGGTTTAGGGGTCACCCTAGCAGCCCATCTCTTTAAGCCCCTCTGTCCAAATACAGTCATATTCTTGGGTACTGGGAGCCGGGCTGAGCCTGGAGGAGACACAGTTCAGCCCATAACATGCGCTTTTACTTAAAAACATCTTCGGCTTTCAGGCAAGGGAGATATTAAAAATGCAATAATAACCATACAGCATAAGCACTGTTCAGATGGTTGTTAAAAGATGAACTGAGGCACATTAAAAGCTTTTAAGACTTTATTTGACCAAACATGGATTCGCAAGAAGCAAGAAGATTGTCCAATTGGCTCTAGCTTAAGCAGTTGCCTTACTTGTGAAAGCTGGCTATTTGCGATTGGTGACTCCTCAATTTCATTTTCTCCAGTACTAGTGTAGGTGTAGGAATTGCCTCTGGCTGAGGTTTTGGCTTGCTTACACCGATTCCTAACTAAGGCATTAGAGTCACCCTAGTGTAATGGCCAAATGGCCTCCTTGGTCACTTACTTTAACATGGTCATCCACACTGTCTCCCTCTAGTGAATCTCACTTTTTTCCATCTCTTGCCGAGTCAAGCCCTAGTTAGTCTCCAAAGTTGATTCCATCCGTGTTCTGGGGGCTTCTTCCTGAGAGCTTACTCCAGACCTTCCAAAGCCTCAGACAGGGCCACTTTCTCTGTGGATGCCCAAAGTGTGTCTGTGTCTGCATAATCATTTCTGACCTTGTGCTTACTGAAGAGTGACCCAATGCCTCTTTTCTCATCCTGTAAGATGACAGATGACAAATCCAGACACGCCTCGTGTTTTGTGAGAGCCACTTTTCTTTCAAAGCTCCTCTGCTTTGAGCTGCCTCAGATGGCCTCTCCACAGAGAGTCTCGTGAAGGGCACACACATTGGCCCCATGCTGGCAATCTCAGATCTTGCAGTCAGCTGGGAAGTTGGCCACCCCACCTGCTGCCAGCTGCATTAGTTGGAAGGACAGTGGATCCCTGATGACAAGATTTTGGGAGGTGGTGGTGGTGAAATAAAGTCTCAAGGAGTTCTTTCCAAAGTGGCCACAAAACACAGAAATATTTATTAGCCCCTACTTCAGGAAGAGTTGACAGTCAAGAACAGTTGAAAATATGCGAATGGGGATTATATCCCTATGTTGTTGATGTTCATTTGCTAAGCCATGTCTGACTCTTTATGACCCCACGGACTGAAGCACAGTAGGCTCTCCTGTCCTCCACTATCTCCTGGAGTTTGCTCAAACTCATGTCCATTGAGTTGGTGATGCTACCGCTATTTCACAATATCACATTGTAAATGAAGTCTCTGTCTTAAAGCACTATTATTGATTTCCTGACTTCTTTAAAGAGTAACCCTGAATTTCTTGGAAGTATTATTTGATATTTGATTATAATGCATTGATAGTATCATGTGACATAATTGGCAAAATTCGTATGGGTGTATCCATTATATAATTAAGTACTTAAATTGAGTCAGTAGGAATCCAAACACACATTCATTTAACTTGGCCAGCTTATTGCATATGCTGGAGATGAGATCAAACACTAAAGACACAAAAGAACGCATTCCTGCCCTTGACAAGTTCACAGACACAATGGAGGAGCAAACGGGTACAATCTAGAGACTGGTTCTCAAACTGAGCATGTGTGGGAATCACCTGGATGACTTGTTCAGATACCTCCCCCTTCACCCCCTCCCCCCTAGTTTTTGATTCAGGGGGCCAGGAATTTGCATTTCTAAAAAAAATTCTTGATGCTGCTGCCACTGTTCTGGGACCACACTTTGAGAACCAGTGATCCAGTGTTACCAGTGTTGGGGGGCTATGGAATCTTTGAGAAGTTCCCAGCATGGCTGGAGGGAGAGGGGGCGGGGGTTAGGGAGAGTTTCACAGAGGCAGTGATGTTTTAAAAAATAAAGGGGCTCCAGTTTCATCCATCTCATTAGAACTGATTCAAATGAATTCTTTTTAATGGCCGACTGGGAAGACCCAGAGGGAGCGGGTAGAGAGGGAGGTGGAAGGGGGGACCGGGATGGGGAATACATGTAAATCCATGGCTAATTCATTTCAATGTATAACAAAAACTACTGTAATGATGTAAAGTAATTAGCCTCCAACTAATAAAAATAAATGAAAAAAAAAAAAAAGAATAGGGGGGGGGGTTAGGATTTGCCAAGCACTGCTGCTGCTGCTGCTTCTGCTGTCGCTTCAGTCGTGTCTGGCTCTGCAACCCCACAGATGACAGCCCACCACGCTCCTCTGTCCCTGGGATTCTCCAGGCAAGAATACTGGAGTGGGTAGCCATTTCCTTCTCCAATGCATGCATGCATTTAAAGAAGCTTCAGTCATGTCCGACTCTGTGCAACGCTATGGACAGCAGCCCACCAGGCTCCTCTGTCCACAGGATTCTCTAGGCAAGAATACTGGAGTAGGTTGCCATTTCCTTCTCTCATGCCAAGCACATTTGGTTCTAAAGTATAAAACTAGGAGAAGGTACATTACATACAGTTTTTTTTTTTTTTAATGTGGATAGTTCCATTTGGCTGGGATGAAGTTTGAGTTTGAAGTAGCTGCAGGAGATAAAGCTGGAGAAATATGCAGGGCTCAGAGGGTTCTATTAGAACATGGTCCTATGTGAGATCATGTAGCCATGAATCCCCAAAGCCAGACTCCAAGCTGGAAAGAAAGATTCCTGGTAGAAGAATCGTCAGTTATCTTTCATTAGAAGAGACTTCTTTCCAAGCCTGGACATGACTTTCCTGGTTTTGGGGAGAAATCCTGTTCATTTCTATGAAATGACAACTCTCACTGGAGGTGACATGAAAGTAGAAAGTGTGTATTGTTTGCACATCACTGGAACTGGTTGGGGCTTAAGTTTTTGCTGTTGTTCCCTAAAGTATGTCCGTACCTTAATAATTATTTGGTTGATTGTTGATTATGATTGGCTATTGGAAAACCCAGAGCTTCACCCGCCTCTCAGGCAAGGGCTAAAAAGCCTGGGAAGGAGAGAGTGGGAGAGAAGGGGAGTTGAGAGCACAGGTTTTGATGGAATATCCTCCATCCCTTTCTCTCTAGGGGAAGATGACGATGACGACGAATGTGGGGAGGAGAAGCTGCCCTCCTGTTTTGACTACGTGATGCACTTTCTGACTGTGTTCTGGAAGGTCCTCTTCGCCTTTGTACCCCCGACAGAGTACTGGAACGGCTGGGCATGTTTCATCGTCTCCATCCTCATGATTGGCATACTGACGGCTTTCATTGGAGACCTCGCTTCCCACTTTGGCTGCACCATCGGCCTGAAGGATTCCGTGACTGCGGTGGTGTTTGTCGCGCTTGGAACCTCAGTGCCAGGTAGGGAATACATGCCTATGTGATTGCCTCAGAAATGGAAACCCTTTCACCTTCTTGACCTTTTTGTTCCTGCGGTTTCAAGGGCTGTGCTAACAAACCCAGCCGATGAAAGACAAAAGCCCAAAGCTATGCATGATGTCACTGCCAGCACATTGTCATGGCATTTCTCAAGGTTAGAAAGCTGGTCAGTGTCATCATGCTGACAGTGTACCATTCCCAGAGGGCCTGCCTGCCTGTCCAGAGAGAGCAGAGACTGACTGTCCAGAGACTGATTTGATGGCTAGATTGATAGGTCAGCTTCCTATTACAATTAGAACTTTTAAAAACACAGCTGCAGAATCATCTTTAAGAACAAAATTTCTGTCTTCTATGTATTTAGTCAAGTTTGGATGAAGCACTCACTGTATTTGTTGGGTGGTTTAGTCACTAAATCACGTCTGACTCTTCTGAACACATGAACTGTAGGCTGCTAGGCCTCTTTGTCCATGGGATTCTCCAGGCAAGAACACTGGAGTGGGTTGCCATTTCCTTCTCCAGGGGATCTTCCCAACCCAGGAACCAAACCCAGGTCTCCCACATTGCAGGCAAATTCTTTACCAACTGAGCTGTGAAGATAAACATTTAAGACCTGATACGATGTTCTCTTGACCCAAATATTAATGGGAGTAAATAAAAAATTCACATTAACCAGAACAAGGAAGAAGTCATCCTGACCAAAGTGAGCAGACCAAGTGGACATCCCTTCATGCATTCCTATAAGCTGAACTTTTCTTCCAACCTATAGCTATAGCTCATAATGTATACTCACTCTTCTGAGTAAGATAGCCTTCTCCTCAACATTACTTTGAGAGCAGTAATTTTCAAACTTTGTTGGGCATCAGAATTACACCAGAGCTTATTTAAAAAATGCAAGTGCCTGAGAGCCATGGAATCGGAAGGTCTAAAGAAGGGCCCAAAATGTGTGTTAACCTCCCAGGTGATTCACAGGTGTATATCAACACATCAGAGTTTATTATAACTCAGGTTCTGGACCCACTCTCCAGCACTGGTTGACATCTTGACAGAGTTACAGCCTCAGCTGAGAGTAACAAGACTTGTGTCTCTATCGACAGAAAGTCAGTGACAAGAGTTGCAGTGGACTTGGGAAAAGGCAGGACTTGCGGGGAGATATAGCTCTTCCCTTCCCACCTTCCACACTTGCCAGAGCCTTGATAAAAATGCTGTGACTTCTACTAACACTTGACACAGTTGGCAACCTGACTTTTGGTTTTTGAGACTGAAAACAAGCACAGTTGAATCATGATTTCTTGATCGAGATCATTAGTTGTTCCTCTCAGGTATTTATTATCTCTGTGACTATGGATAGATTACTTCTCTGAGCCTCGGTTTCTTCATTTATGAACTAGGGACAACAATACTTAACTTGCAGAATGAGGGTAAGGATTGGGAAAATGGCTATAAATTATACAGCTAGTAAAGCATCTGGGACATAGAAGGAATTCCATAAAAAAGCAGCTTTTGTGACTATGGTGTTGAATGGCTAAAGATGATCTGATAAGTATGAATCCAGACCCCTCAGCCTTGAGAAACAACGGATGGATGGAGTGTCCAAATTTACACTGGTCAGCCACAGCATTTGGTGTTGCACAACTGATTGACTGTTTGAAAGTCTTGATCATGCTGGGCTCAGCATGGTTTGGGGGTCCAACTGAGTTCATGAAGGAGCCAAGCGATTACAAGTGCTCCTCCTCCCACCTTAGTGAACAGGGCTGTGCAAATTCTTCCTGTTGATTGCTGATCCTCAGAAGAGAGTAGATTCCCCCTTAAAACCAGCTATATTCCAACAGATCTGTATTTGGTCTTTAATTTTTTCTAAAAATGACCAGAAATGTAGCAAGCAAGAGGAAAAACTAAAAATATTCTTCAGTTGCTTTGTTTAGAGAACATGTACACAACCGTAAGGACTAAGCATTATGGTCAGCCCTAGCTCTGTCTCAGGTTACTATAGGAAAATGTCAGGGGATCTTCTTTCCTTAAGGCTTAAGTCACTATAAATGGTGCCCAAGTCAGTGCACACTCTTGATCATGGGTTTAACCCTTGAGGAGGATATGTGCAAATTATGGTAATGAAGGCAAAATTAGATCTCATGACAGTTATTCAAAATTAGCCTGAATTCCTGATAAGTCAGCAATAGGGCCTACCAAATGCATCTCTTACTTTAAAAGGGATTGAAAAAAAATGCTTTTCCTACATGAAATCCTTGGGTCTGAAAATGTTTTGGGGTGTTTTTCTTTTTTTCTTCATTCATATCAATATCTTTAAGCTGGCTCCTTTCGCTACATATCAGTCTCCCAGCGTGGCTCTGTATCTCGTATTTGAATGAACCCTTTTGAACATTATCGAAGCTGTATGATTAAAATTTCTTGTGTGACATGGAATGTGGATTACAGTAAACCCTAGTGCTTGAAGTTATTTGTACTGCCACTTAAAAACCAGTGCAGAACACAAGTAGGGGTGTCAAGAGGTGGAAAAGCCTGTGGGATTATACAGCAGAGTCATTAGTTGTCAAAATGGTTTCCCCTGCATTACCATAAATTCTTCCCATTGGGAAGCAGATTTCTTTGCTCTGTTCATGGGAGAATTCATATAACTTGCTGTAATATTAACTGTGCAGTGCACTCCCCAAACAATATATTCACAGGTAATCTTAAATGATCATATCTACATAAACAGACATTCCCTCCCCCCCACCTCAGAAAACTGCAAATTGTTCATTCAACATCTTTTTCAATATTTCTGACTTCCTCCTTCAATCCTGATGATTCGGAGCAGTGCTTCATTATATCTCTTGACTTCTTAGAGGGAAAAAAATGCTATTCTTCCCAAATGACAAAGCCCAGTTGCTATGGTCAGAAGAATAAAGAAAACTGATTCTTTTCACTTACAGCCTACCATTCATTGGTCCTAGAGCCCAGCTCTTTCTCTAGGCTGACATCTTACCAGTTTTCCTAAGGTAGAAGGGCTCCTGGCTAGTGTTTGATAAACTGCTGCCTCCTCTGATGTGAGACTGAGATTCTTAGATTGTGATGGCATTTGGGCATTGAAAAGCTTTGCTACTAGTCCTCCTGACTCAGGGTGGAATTAAATATCTATGTATCTCATTAATGGTATGTTCTTACCATATTCAAAATCTTGGAAAAAAGAGCTTATGACTTTGCAGATGAGACAGAGCTTCTCCATGCCAACTGGTAGTGAGATTTTATTATTAACCTACCAGCAGAGAAGGACTCCTGACAGCCCTCAGGTGTGCCTTTATAAACTTAAAGACCCATACATAGAGGAAGAGTCTTTTCTCCCGACTCACCCTTCCACAGAGCTGCCTTTCTGGAGAAGAAGGGGGCTTCCAAAACAGTGTGTTCCCACCTCCTCATGTTGGCATGAACCAGAGACTGGTCTCCAGCCCTCTTCTTGGTCCATGGTCACTCCCTGGGCCATTGTCCCAGTCTCCAAGTCTTAATTACCATTGACACACCAGTGAGTACCAAGTGTACATCCCCAACTTCAACTTATCCCTGAATTCTCGATTCGAATACCAACTGCTTTCCTATATCCATACTGGATGTGAAATTCACATCTGAAAAGCACCATATACCAAATAGAACTGTTGCTTTCTACTGCCCAGGTGCTTTATCTTTCACCCAAACCTGTTCTTTCTAGATCTTGCCTTTCCCTGGAAAATAGTATCATCTGCCCAGGTGTTCCTGACTCCTTTGTCCTCATCCCCAGTGAAATGATTCATAACTCCTATAGATCTTTCCTCTACCATCTATATTGATCAGACCCACTTAACTGTCTCTCCCATAGTCATGCTAGTCTAGGCAACTGTTTTTCCTCACTCTAACCCCCAGAGTAGCCTCCTGTCTCCATGCTTCTCCTAGAGATGACTTTAAGATGTAAATCAGATCACATTTCTCCTTAAAATCTCAGTCTTTCTCTTTCACTTAGGATAAACTTCAAAAGCATCACTCTGGCTTACAAAGACCATATGATTTGGTCCCTGCCTGTCTCTCCTGTTTACCTCCTTGCCCACTGTTTTTCAGCCTTCTCTGGTGGCTCAGTTGGTAAAGAATCCACCTGCAATACAGGAGACCCAAGTTAGTTCCCTGGGTGGGGAAGATACCCTGGAGAAGGAAATGGCAACCCACTCCAGTACTCTTGCCTGGAAAATCCCATGGACAGAGGAGCCTCGTAGGCTACAGTCCATGGGGTTGCAAAGAGTTGCACATGACTGAACATGGTCTTTTTACTGTCTTTCATGCGCCAAGTACATTCCTTTCTCATGGTTTCACTAGCTGTCTAAAATGCTCTTCCCCTTCATTTGCACAAGACTGGCTGTCTTCAGTTATATCTCATCCTAAATGTCACCTCTTCAAAGAGACCTTCCCTGACCATACCGTATGAAGTAGTCACCCAGTTTTCCTGTGTTATATCACCCTCTTTGATATTGAGTGTTTATAACTTTCTGGATTTTTTTAGTCTGCTTTTGAATATTATCTTTGGCCTACTTTCCCCACTGAAATGTTTCATAGGAGCAGAAACCTTGCTTTTTTTTTCTATTACATCCCTGGCTCCTAGAATGGTTCCTAGTTAGCATATAAATAATGCAATTAGGTGTATGTATATGTTTGTGTGTGTGTGCTGTATATATAAATTAATGAACTATCATTTACACGTGAGTATGAATTGGTCTGTCAGATTGCTTTCTTCATAACACCTTGTAGAGACAGCTAAGAATTAAGAGTCAAGGGAGCTGAATAGCTGTTTCTATAGTGTAGCTTATTTTTGAAGAATAGGATATATCTGAGTAGGTTGTTGTAATAAGAAGGGGCTAAGGTAAATTTCAAAGCACTAAGCGTATCAGAATGGAAACAATGTTTTCTCATTCATAGTTGTGACTATGGTGGGAACTGTGAGGAGCAAGATACTATCTCTTCATTCT